TTACATGTATGACTCATTCCACAAGAATATCTATGTTATCAGATTTGGTGAACAATCTTGGTACCATTGCAAGATCTGGAACCAAGGAGTTCATGGAAGCCCTTGCAGCCGGTGCTGATGTGAGCATGATTGGACAGTTTGGAGTTGGGTTCTACTCGGCCTACCTTGTGGCTGAAAAGGTCATTGTTACCACCAAGCACAATGATGATGAGCAGTACGTATGGGAGTCCCAAGCTGGKGGTTCATTCACCGTCACSAGRGACACMTCTGGTGAGAATCTYGGCCGAGGTACKAAGATTACYYTGTATCTCAAGGAAGATCAGCTTGAATATCTTGAGGAGCGTCGTCTCAAGGACTTGATCAAGAAGCACTCCGAGTTTATTAGCTACCCAATTTCTCTCTGGGTTGAGAAGACCACCGAGAAGGAGATYTCTGATGATGAAGATGAGGAAGAGAAGAAGGATGAGGAAGGTAAGGTTGAGGAAGTTGATGAAGAGAAGGAGAAGGAAGAAAAGAAGAAGAAGACGATCAAGGAGGTTTCACACGAGTGGTCCTTGGTGAACAAACAGAAGCCTATCTGGATGAGGAAGCCGGAAGAGATTACAAAGGAAGAGTATGCTGCTTTCTACAAGAGCCTTACCAACGACTGGGAGGAGCACCTTGCTGTAAAGCACTTCTCTGTTGAAGGTCAACTTGAATTTAAGGCTGTTCTCTTTGTCCCCAAGAGGGCTCCTTTTGATCTCTTTGACACAAAGAAGAAGCCAAACAATATCAAGTTGTACGTTCGTCGTGTCTTCATCATGGACAACTGTGAGGACCTCATTCCTGAATACCTTGGCTTTGTTAAGGGTATCGTTGATTCTGAGGATCTTCCCCTTAACATTTCTAGAGAAATGCTACAGCAGAACAAGATCTTGAAGGTCATCCGCAAAAACTTGGTCAAGAAGTGCCTTGAGCTCTTCTTTGAAATTGCTGAGAACAAGGAAGACTACAACAAATTCTATGAGGCCTTCTCCAAGAACTTGAAGCTTGGTATCCACGAGGATTCTCAGAACAGGCCAAAGATTGCTGAATTGCTCCGCTTCCACTCCACCAAAAGTGGAGACGAGTTGACCAGCCTGAAGGATTACGTGACCAGAATGAAGGAAGGCCAGACTGATATCTTTTACATCACTGGTGAAAGCAAGAAAGCTGTAGAGAACTCTCCTTTCCTTGAAAAGCTCAAGAAGAAGGGTTATGAGGTTCTGTTCATGATTGATGCAATTGATGAGTATGCAGTTGGTCAGCTGAAGGAATTTGAAGGGAAGAAGCTTGTATCCGCAACCAAGGAAGGTCTGAAACTCGACGAGAGTGAAGATGAGAAGAAGAAGAAAGAAGCTTTGAAGGAGAAGTTTGAGGGGTTATGCAAGGTGATCAAGGATGTTTTGGGCGACAAAGTTGAGAAGGTTATTGTTTCTGACCGTGTTGTTGATTCCCCGTGCTGTTTGGTAACTGGTGAATACGGGTGGACAGCCAACATGGAAAGAATCATGAAAGCTCAGGCATTGAAGGACAACAGCATGGCTGGCTACATGTCGAGCAAGAAGACCATGGAAATCAACCCCGAGAACTCCATCATGGAAGAGCTCAGGAAGAGGGCTGATGCCGACAAGAACGACAAATCCGTGAAGGACCTTGTCCTCCTCCTCTTCGAGACTTCCCTTCTCACTTCTGGATTCAGCCTTGACGAACCAAACACCTTTGGAAACAGGATCCACAGAATGTTGAAACTTGGCCTGAGCATCGATGAGGATGCAGGTGAAGCAGATGCTGACATGCCTCCTCTTGAGGATGCTGAGGCTGATGCTGAGGGTAGCAAGATGGAAGAAGTCGATTAATTGACTACTATTAGACCAAAAGCCGGTAGCATCTTTTAAGATTTCCCAAATGTTTTGTTTTCAATCTATATATATCTTGTCCTGTCATTAGTTAAGAAGTTGTCTTTGTTTTCCTATTACTTTGCTGACTACTTTGTTTTCTCAAAGTTTTGTGGCAACTCTAGTGATGATATTATTATATTTCTCTCCAAAATGCTTGCATCTTTCACATCTCTCTTGCTCCATGCATAACTTGCCTGTAAATTGACCACATTCTGGTGAAGCCTTGCTCAACCAAATAGTTCACGAGTCAGAATTTTTGAGTTTTATAGACCGACTTCTAGTTGAATTTGAGGTCTCTTTTCTTCCCTTTCCAAGTTTTTTAGGCCTCTTGGGTTTGGCTCAGTTTTGGGCCATCTTTCTCTTGAACTTGGGTCATATTCTCTGTTTGAAGTAGTTCTTTAAGCATCGGTATAAAAGTTTTCCATTTATCTTAAATCAGTAGTTTGATTTGGCATCAGTTTGGATTGAAAATTAACATGACACTGTGCTGGTTATACACTCGATATGAAATTGGTAGCCATGGTTGCCATGGTTCATGATGGGCAGACATCCTAGTTTGTAGGATACACAAGATGACCAATCTGAACAATTTTTATCACATTTCATATTTGGGTATTTTAGATATTTAGTGTTTTACTTTTAGTTATTAAATAAATCTTGGGTGATATAGAAATTTATTCAATGCTGAATCATATCTGACTTTTATTTTGGTTATATTATTTAAGTGAATGTTCAATTATAATATTTTGATCATACTATTTTGGTTAAAATTCTATTATAGAGCCCTGTATTGGATTTATTTTAGTCTCTTTATTTTAAAAATATTCATTTATGCTTTGAAAATGTTCATTTAAATCTCTATATTATAAAAATGTGATCCTTTTAGTTTCTCTTTGTCAAATTTTGCAAAAGATAAAATTTAAAATAAGATTGGAAATAAAGACAAAATTGTGATTGAAAAATGAGATTTAAAATAAAATAAAAAGACAAAATTGGTCAGAATGACCAAAATGAAAAGGAGAAAGTACAGGAATCAAAATAAAAATAAAATAAGGATGGAAATGAATTAAAGTTTGTCTTTCTATTATTTTTTTGGAATTGAGAATTGATGATTGTGTTCTTGTGTTTAAAATGTGAATTTCTATTCTTATTTCTACTTTATTGAATTCATGATTGTGTTCTTGGTTTAAAATGTGACTGTGACATGATTCCATATTACACTTTGTGTTGTGTACTGAGTTTTTCTTCTCTTAAAATATAAAAAACAATTTATTTTTTTCATGAGAAATATTTACGATAAAGTTTTTTTTTTATTTTATTATATTTTTCCATGGGTTTTAAATGTGTTGGTATTGGTACATCATTTTTCTTTACGAGGCCGCCCTCTCTCTCTTGAGATGTGATGTGTAACTACTTTCTTTACTCCAGAGTCCAGGCCTCGGCCACTCTCTTCCGCCACGTCATTAAGGAAATACTTTATTTTTTTTAAATGACTCACTTATAAATATTATAAGATTATTACAACGTTAAAATCAATTAAAAATGTCGCAATCATCTTTCTATTGAAAATACGATAAAAATATTTGGAAATTGAGGTTTTGAAATTTGGAAATTAGAGAATATTTGGTGACTTTTTTTATGTTTCATGTTTCTCTTTTTTACAAACGTTTTAAAAAATGTATAGAAATTTTAAAAATAACTGTCTTATTTCTTGTTCATGTTTTCAATTTATTTCAAAATAAATAAAAATATTGTTTTATCATCCTTCTATGGATATCGGAAGTTATGTAGATCTATTTTTCTTTATCAAAATAGAGAAACATAAAAAAAAAAATGATAATATTATTAAATAGATTCTAATGGGATAAATTAAATTTTTGGGTATAATAAAATAGAAGCAAACATAAGTAGCAATCAGGGTTAATATGACTTCATTCTCTGTTGTGGTGATTTCATGTCACTTATAAAAAAATTATAGGTTAATCCTTGGACATAGGGGTAAGGAAAACAATTTTACTCTTCACGAGCTTTGTCCTCCATACCATTAATAATAAGTTTTCAAATATTTAGTGGCGGGGAGAGGACAACTGGTTCTCATTCTGAGACTGGGACCAAGTATTTTCCTAGTCTCAATTTAGTAGGTATAATTTGATCATTTTAATTGAGTCCTTCTAATTCAATTAACCTCATAAATTATATATACTAAAAAAACCTCACAAATCGTCATCTTTTAAACCTCACTAATATATATTTTTTTACGTGATAATGAGATGATGTTTTGTCAACACAAGTATAGCTGCACATACATAACTCATTCTCTTGAAATAGGAGATTGAAATCCCTACACACCTACCTTTATAATTATTTTATCAAAAAATAAGAGTCGGGTGAGTAAAAAGATAGTTTAGGGATGATCCTCGAAGTTTAATAAAATCATAAACTAAATTGAAATAAAGCTCAAACTATATGAACGGAATAGAAAATTTTAAAAATATTGAGACCAAGTTGAAAACTACGCTCAGACCATAAAAACCAAATTTGTAATTTAACAAATTTTAAATTGAAAAAAAAAAAGCATTTAAATATTTTGGGGCGGGTTGATTTGAATTTAAAAATAACTAATTTTTGAAGAAGGAACAAGCCAACCGGCAACCGAATCAGGAGGTGGAAACGTGGGTCCGTAATTGTCCGGTTACATAGGCGTAGGCCCCAAAATTGAAACGACCCGTTCCGTTACCCGGTCCAAACGACGCCGTTCTGCATGCGTTTTTCTTATCATTTCAGCGCCACCCAACAGTATGGGCTTTTCCCTTCCATCTCATCGTCACGCTACAAAACGTCAAATTCTTCTTCTTCTTTTATTTTTTTTAATAAAAAAAAACTCATTTTTTGATCGAATTATTGTTTTTGGTTTGTTTTTCCGTTCTTGATTTTTGGCTATAAGTACGTTTCGCAATCCCTCTGTTCGTCTCTCTTTTTTCCGATTCGTCACTTTCGCATTTTCTTCTCATTTTCTCCGTCGCCTCATAAGGTATGTCTGCCGATTTTTCTTCTTTTTGTTTCACGCAAATTTGTCCGACGAGAAACTGAATATGATTTATTGGGTTTCGTTGTTTTTGTTCGAACGTACTCCGAATTCCTTCGAGTTGCGTTTTATTTTCTATTCCCGTGTATTATTTGTGTCTGTTTACTCACCGGCGAAGTTTTGGAATTTGAAATCTGTTGTTTGGTGGGGACTGGTTCGAGGAATTACGCGATCGGATCTAGGTTCTATATTGTTGCTGGTTTGTAACGGATTTGGAGATCTGGGGTGGGTGTGTTTTTATTTTGTGACTGCTGTTATGGTTATGATTATGTTGGTGGTCGCTGAGATAATTTTTTGTGGGTTCTATCACATTGAACTGAAATTCTGGTCCCCATTTTCCTTTTAGTGCAATGAAATTGAGCTCTGTTGTTGGTTTTTTTATATTGATTTTTCTGGAGGCTAGAATTCTTGTAGAGATTTTCCGAATATGCAAAAATCTGGATGTGTGAGGTAGAGTTAGTATCATCTTGTTTTCGAGAGAAATTTCTGATTTTGAGATTTTTGACTGTTCTGAATGCAACCTAAAATTAGTGCCAATTTAGTATCTGGCGTCATCAATAAAATTTGTAGGAATTTACTTTCTTGTTAGATGTCATTGGGTCGAGGAATCTACCTCTTATTTAGGACAGATCAAAGATCATGCAACAACTACATCACAAAAATTCTGAACTCTCCCTACCATAATGGCCTAATGACTATAATCTAGTTCTGTTCTGTATGCAGTAAATACATTTTTGGCTTATATTAGATTGGTTCAGGAGATTAGAGTTAGTTTAACTACAGTAAAGTGATTTTTTACATCACTTTACCTATACCATAAAGGATGTACTTTTGGGGTTTTTGGACAGAGGATCCTCATATGTAGATTACAGATGTATTGCATCAGTGCCTGATGTAGATGTTTTTTTTGGCCGTTGAATTTATAGAAGCATCTGCAATATGCAGCTTGCTTCCCCTATACAAGTGTGCATGAACCTGGTATAGAGAACTCTCAAGTTTTACATAGCAAAACACCTACCAAATTTGTGCATGATATATTATTACTTCCTATTTCTCCAAGAGCTCTCTTTCAGCTTATTTTATCTACCTGGAAAGAGTTTGTCGTCTCTTGGCATTTTGAGATTAGGATATCCCTATATTTATACAATTAACTTTCTTTTTAAAGTTTATTTTATCAATGGACCAACAGTTATCTCAATAATTATTTACCAAGTTCTGAATTCTTAAAGCTTACTTGTTGTGCCCATTAAAAGTTGTTGATAAATTTATTTATTTAGCCCTATTACAAGCTATATGAAACACATATACGTTAGTTTGGGTAGCATGTCCATGTCTGATACATATCAGACATTTGATACTTGTATTTGTTAAGCACAATAGATACATGTCAAATACTCTTTAAGCACAATAGACTGGTATAGGATGCTATTTGAATTAATTGTATGTGTGTTAGAGTATTGTTGGACATGTTATAAACTTTGTCAGACACTTGAGCATGTGTGTCAAATAATTTTTGTACCCTTGAAATGAAGTGTTAATTTAAAAAATGGAAAAATTAAGGAACAAAAAAGAAATATGGGAGAAAAATAATAAATTTTGATAGCAAAAAACATCAAACTTATTTTTGAAGCTATTAAGTTCTTAAGCATTATTGATTTTAAATTTCTATGAGCTGTGAAAACTCATTTATATTGTCTTTCATGTGCAAATATCATAGACTAAAATAAACTTTAACATGAAGATCATTGAAGTATATTAAAATGATCAGATATATTTAAAAATCTATATTTTAGCAATTGCATCCTTGGTGTTTCGATGTCCCAGTTTATTAGAAACTGACATGTCATTGTGTCTTTACTGTGTCTTGTTTGTGTCCCCATGCCATGCCCACACTTCTTTGGTTATGAGCAAGTACTTGATGTTGTTGGAAATGGAGAATTTATTTGTTACAGTAACTTTTTTTTTTTTGTACAAAATGATTTGGAAATCATCAAGCACCTATACATGGTTGTCTTACTTGAGAAGCCCCAGCTTGATGCACACACCTTGAAAACACCTTCTTTGATGCACAGAGATAATCAACTTATTGTGAGGAAGTTTGTTGGTCGTGAATTAACTAAGCAGCGAGTTAATGCTAGCTACTTTCTTTTCTTTTCTTTTTTTATTTTATCTCTCTCTTTTTTTTTTTTCCATTCTCGCAATTATGTAATATTGAAGTGCTACTTGAGCCATTTATTAATATTTCCATAAAATCTCTTCGTGCTTTGCTGATTATCATTTGTTCTACTAATTGATTAATTTCTAATGTACTCAGACTACTGTCTCAACAAGAATAGGTTTCCGTTGTTTGTTATGTGAAGTTTTGGCATCTGAGCAAGTCATTGGAAGCAGGAAATGGTTAAAAGGTTCATTATCTCTTTCCTTCCATTGTTTTGTACGCATTTTCTGATATCACCGAGGAAAACTCTTACCAGTCTTCTGCTAATCAGGCATGGAGTGTTTTGATTTTCAAGCGATATCATGTTGCAGTGCATAGGGGGATTTTTTGCTTCCCTACTAAGATGTTGTGATCTTGACTTGTATAAGCAATCAAGAGGTCTTGACGATCCAGAACTTCTAGCAAGGGAGACTGTGTGTATGTCTATAATTTTATCTTTCCTTTGTGGATTTGTATACTGATGAACGCATCCAATTTATATTGTCACATCTACTTGGCTTCCTCCTCTTCTTTTTGTTAATAGTTTATATTGGACACATTAACTTGGTGTCCAGTGAAATACTAAAAATAAAAGTAGGTGACCAAAATGAATGCAATGTTCTTTGATTAATTTATTAATCCTTTTAGGTACCTGTGATGCCACTGAAATTCTGTTATATTAGAAGAAAGAAAAAATATGCATTTTTCAGTTAAATAATGCTTGTTTTTTCTTGATGCAGTCAGTGTAAGTGAAATAGAGGCACTATATGAACTCTTTAAGAAGATAAGCAGTGCCGTGATTGATGATGGCCTGATCAACAAGGTATATGCATCTTTTTCTGCTATTAGGGATATGTTCATCTGTAGCTTAGGCGTGAAACTTTTCCCTCACTATGGACCTAACATCTTTTCCTTCACATCAATATGGTGACACTTGTAAGATGTATTTTGCTGATTTACGTTGGTTCTTTCTTGAAGTTGTTTCTTGTACTATTATTCTGTAGGAGGAGTTTCAACTGGCGTTGTTCAAGACGAATAAAAAAGAAAGCCTATTTGCTGACAGGGTACTATTTTTACTGTGTATTATTTATTTGATCATGTATTTCTGCGGTAGAGTGATATGCCTTTTCGGTTGGACAATATTTGTTAACTCATTTTTCTTGCCAACATCTCTTGTATAAAGTTCTTATTCTTAATTGATTTTAAATTGCAGGTGTTTGACTTATTTGATACGAAACACAATGGAATATTAGGCTTTGAAGAGTTTGCTCGCGCGCTATCTGTATTTCACCCGAATGCCCCGATTGATGATAAAATTGAATGTACGTTATGTAAAGTTGTTAGGAAAATTGATAGAGATTTTTGTCCTTTCCTTACAAAAGGGAAAGAGACAAAAATAAATGATAAAATATCTGAGGCTGTTGTCACGCCGGTTGTTAAGAGATTTATAATATCATTGGAACCTTTGTGTCTCTAACTATATTCTTTTGCCTTTACCTTATAATGCCATGTTTTCAGTTTCTTTTCAATTGTACGATCTTAAGCAGCAAGGTTTTATAGAGAGACAAGAGGTAAAATTTTGTTCCCTGTCATGAAGTTTAAGTTTCCAGTGTCATAACCCAATTTTCCTACTATAATGTCGGTTTTTTTTCCCTTTTATGCCATAGGTGAAGCAAATGGTAGTGGCTACCCTTGCAGAATCTGGCATGAATCTTTCGGATGATGTTATTGAGAGTATAATTGATAAGGTAGATGCTGCTCTACCTGTTTTCATTATTTATAGTTTTTGTTTACTTCTCTGAAATTTGAATTATTATCATTCCCTCTCAGGTATTCGTTTTATATACAGAGAGACATCTTTAATTTGTTACTATTTTAAACTTTTGATTATGTTTTTTAGACCTTTGAAGAAGCTGATACAAAACATGACGGAAAGATTGATAAGGAAGAGTGGAGAAATCTTGTTCTACGTCATCCATCTCTCTTAAAGAACATGACCCTTCAATATCTCAAGTAAGTCCACCGTTTTGGTTTCACTGAAACATCGCATAACCATAATCATACTTAAATACCTCAAGTCAGTTCCTTGTTCTTGTTTTACATTGTAAATGCCTGAGGCCGGTCTCGAAAAGTGAACTATAACTGAAATTTTAGTTAGCTGCCTTAGATAGAATATCTCAAAGCTAACTAAATAAAATTCAATTATAGTGCCTCTAAGGGACAACCCAGTTGGCTAGGACTTGAGGTCTCTTGATGATACTGACTTAAAGGTCTCAAGTTTGAACCTTTCGGTGAGCTTATATCAAAAACCCTTGATGTTCCCCAAGTCTGGGACTTGGGGCGGGTGCGGGTGCCCTGAGTAAGGAGAGCAAAGCTTCGACTCCTAGTTATAAAAAAAAGAAAAATATATTCATAGCGCTAGCTCTGTTCTGTTATAATTTGGAGCTTTTGACTGAGCAGGGACATCACCACAACTTTCCCAAGTTTTGTCTTCCATTCGCAAGTTGACGATACCTGAAGTCGTGATCTGCAGTTGAAGTATAGTGATTGTAGTTGGATCATGGTTTGCTCGATTGTAAACGCTGTAGGCTGCTTCTTAGAAAGGAGGGGCTAATATTTAATTTTTGCTTCGCATGGGTTGTTGGTTCGTTTGGTTATTTTCGGTGTTAGTTGCTTCAGTGACTGAACTTTTGTGTTCTAAGCATGAGAGAGGGAGAATTGTGGTTGCTTGTGTTTGCTTTCATGGCTGAGTTCTAAAAGTATGGAAGAAAAGAGTTGGAAGATGTCAGCATGTCAGAAAATGGTGAAGGGTTGGAGACCACCATTAGAACTTGTGTGGTGATGAAAATCTCTCTCTGTTGTTTCATCAGGAGTTAGCATTATTTCTTCCTTTTTCTTTCTTTTTTTCCCTTTATTTATAAATGTTGATAAATATTGATGCGATATGATATTTCTATTGTGTATGCTTTAAATTAGACCTTTAACTACTTGCCAACTTGCAATTTTGATGTCAAAATGAGTATAGTTTGATCGTTATTCACAATCTACTTCTCTACGTTGCAATTTTGGTCCCAAAGATTTTTTTTCTTCATTTGGGATTTAAAATGACACTTCTCACAAGAATGATGTTGATACGCAACAATTTAAGTCTATAGACTACTTTAGCCTCTAGAATTTGACTTCATAAAATATGACTTGACTAAAATGTTAAAAAGAATTAATTAAAATATGTAAATTAAATCTAAATCAAGATAAAATAAAATAAAATATTTCCTACAATAAATAAAGGAAAAATCTATTCCTCTTGTATAGTGAGCACTGGCATAGTGGCATGGGAGAGAGAATCTAGGAATTTTTTTTTCTAAATAATTTGAAACCGACTTTTTTTTCTTTTTTACAAAGGTTTAATTTCATTTCAACTAGTTAATTCGGTAGACTTTTACATTTATTTTTCATTTTTTATTTTCCATATTACTTTGTTTTTCTGCTTCTTTCAAATAGTTTTATATGTTTATTCATTCAGTTTTTCTTGAATGCAAAAAGCATCTGAACTTGTTAATCTCTAAAACAATAAAAATGGGCAAACCTCTAGTTTTATGATGTTATCATTACAACGATATTTCCATAAATATATTATGAGGGTCAAAATTTATCAATTATGGGCTAATTAAGTTGCAATTAAATTTTTATTTACTAATCCAAAAAATTTGCATCGATATCTATAATTTCCGTGACTTTTCTAGAATATCCATCACATCGACATGTTTATAAAATTTGGACCTCGACATCGAAATTTTGAATCTTGCTATAACTCTCTGAGTGTAACAACACAAAATTAAACAACAAATAAAAATACAAATAATGCAAGCACCTTAATTAATTTCACCACCCAAATATTGCACATAAATATATGAATAACAAATTATAGCAATTAATTTCATACAATTTATAATGAAAAAAATTAATTGGAAAAATTAAATATAGATGGGTTATAGAAAATGACACCGAAAATTTATAATGGTTCGGCTCAGCTACTCTACTTCCCAAGCTCTTCTTGGATGTTCAATTGAAGAACTTGACTTTTTCCATGGAGAGTCTAACGGGTACAAAGTTCTTTTTACGGAAGCAAGAACGAAGCCGATTCTTTCCACGGTTTATGATCAAACCATTACAAATGTTCTTTGGGCTCAAGAGCAACCCTTAAGAATTGAAGATTTGAAGAATAAACTTAAAAACTCTTTCAAAGAATGGGTATTCAAATTTTTACTCACAAATTTTGTAAGAAAAATTCTTACAAAATAAAGCCCTCGAATTGTCTAAAAGAAAATAAAAATTATAAGCTCAAGATCGAACATTGAAGTTTTTTAAGAGATGAACAATTGATGAATTAGAGAGAAAAATGAGAAAAAAGTGTTGTTGAAATTCGAGAGAATGCGAGGTTTAAATAGAGGAGAAAAAGTTGGGAAGAAATTTAAAATTCAAATTAAATTTGGACTCTTGAATTTGAAATTATTAAAAATTAAAGGTTGTTATTTAACTGAATAAAATAATAATAATAATAAAATATTATATATGGATGTGTTGAACTAGGGGTGTTCACGGGTCGGGTTGGGTCGGGTTAAGGGTTTTTTGGGACCAACCCGAATTTTCGGGTGGACCATATGTAGAATCCAACCCAACCCAAAAAATTCGGGTTGGGTCGGGTTGGGTTGTCGATTTTTTTTTAATTATTAATTTACTTTTGTTTTGTTTATAACATAGACCAAAAAGAATATAAAAAAATCAAAATCTTAATTTAAACACAAATTCAAAATGGATGGATGGATGAGATTGAGTTTTTAAAAATAAGAATTACTAATTTATTATATATATAATATTATATTATAAGTAATATATATATAAAACATATATACTCGGGTCGGGTCGGGTTGACCCGACATTTTCAAGGGTCAACTCGTGACCCGACCCAACCTGGTCGGGTTGGGATTTTTCCAACCCAATCCAACCCTTATGGGTTCGTCGGGTTGTTGGATTTGGTGAACACCCCTATATTATAATATATATATATTTTTAAAACAAATATGCTGTGATGTGATATATGTTTTTGCTTTTTATTTATTTTTCTTTGTTTTAAGTTTAACTTTATTTTTTTGTTTCTTTTTTTCTTTTTTTTTCTTTTCTTTCTAATTTTTTTTTATTTTTTAACACCATGCCACATGTCAACATTTCGTTGGTCCGTTTAGTTGATTCATCCATCACGTCATGCACCTCGGATAATTTCTTTCCAACTTGTTTCGATCATCATTTATTCGTTTGAACTTCGATTTTGGTAATTCAAAATTCATTAGAATCATCGTATCAAACTTTACGTGGTCACTTTAAAATACTAAAATTATCAATAAACAAAATATGTATTACCAGTAAATCATATAATATTATTGAAGTGCATAATAAATTTATGTTTTATATCAATAATTCTCACGCAAAAAACAATTAATACTAGGTTTGTTATAATCAAAACATTAATTAACCGAGATTAAGGACCAAAAAGCCAACATTGCACCCTAAAAAAATTATCATCAATTAGCCACGAAAGTTTTATAACTTTTTCCTCTCTCATTCTCACAGTTTCCTTTGATATGGTCAATATTTTCACTTTCAACCTAACTATTGCATCAACAATGGCTTCACTATCGTCATAATGATCAAATACAACTACAATTCGCCTAAGTCGTGGTTCTATTAGCCACCCCCATCAAATGTTAAATTTCATGCTCTTATCTCTCTCAAATGTAGCATCTTTTTCATCTATACATTGTTGTGTAGAAAAATTCAAGAGAGTAATGTAAATTAAATTGGGAGTCGACTCTACTGCTCTTATAATGTATTGCTTCATGAAAAAATCGAGAAAAAAATACAAAAAAAAAAAAGATCTGAGAGAATTTTTTTTCCAACCATGATTTATGAAAGAAGAAAAATAAAAATATATTATGATTGTTTTGTATATTCTATCTCGAAATGCTCCCTCTCTTTCGTCCACATTTTCCTCCAACTAACACATCATCTCTATTATTTTGTCTATTAATTTAGGATGAGTTATTGAATCATAAAAATAATGAGTTAATTATTGAGTAACACCAAAAGGTTAATTATTTTTATTATCTAATAATGCTAAAAGTTAGAATACCTAATTTTAACTTTACTTCTAAAAATTAATTAAAAAATCATAGTTATTTTTAATTATAAGTAATAATGATATTTTAAAAGTTCTAATCATTTTTACGATTTAATAATCCGAAGAGTTACATATCTACCAATTAATTAAAAAAAGTATGACTTATTTTTAATTGTAATTAATAAAGTTCTGTAACTCTTTCTTATGTCTCTCTTTAAAATAAAACAATTTTAACAATTTTATTTTTTAATAATTTAATTTATAACTATTTAATTAATTTTTATATTTTTAGACTTTAAAATAAAATTATGACACAAACATGGTTCTAAATATCAATCAACACGTCGATATTTCCATAAACATATCAATGTTTCTATGTGTTCGACATCAACATGAGGAGTAAATCAATATATCCCTCGTACTACAAAAAAAAATGGATGAAATATGAAAAATATCAACAAAATATCACTAATATATACATAATATTAATAATAATTATTTTTACTTTATTTAGAAATTAAAAAATATTTATTTGTTAATTTAAATACTTTTTACAATTTTTTAATTTCTATAACTTTTAAGATAAAAATCTATCCACATTAACATTTTATCATATTTATCACGTTTATTACTAGTAAAAAAAAAAGAAAGATAAATGTTTAAGATTTTGAAACCGAATTACGATTTTTGATTTAAAAGATTGATTTTCGATTACAAAAATAAAAAATAAAATTTATTCTCTCATCCCATTCAGCCGCCTCATCCTTTCTCTCAATCTCTTCTCACCTCATTCCCTTTCTCTCTTGCAATCTCGCCCCATTCCGGAGGCGTCTCCGGCAGGCGCACTCGAAAGAGACCCAGCGCCGGCGGCGTCATCTCCGAACGGCGAGCGGCGGCATCTCCGGCATATCTTTTCCGGCGACACCTAGATCGGCAATACGGACGGCGGCGAACCACATCTGTAGAGTAAGGTGGGTAATTTTTGTTTTTCATGTGTATGTTTGCTGAAAATTTGAAGAATTTTGGGCTGTTTTTCGTGTTTATATTTGCTCAAAATTAGTAGATTTTAGGGCTGTTTTGTTTTCCATGTTTTTTTTTTCAAGAAACAAAGAAAGGTGTATTAGGAAGAAGACCCAAACAAGGCCAAAACAACCTAAAGGCGGAGGGTGGAGGAAACCCTCCCCAAACAGACTATACAATTACAACTTTCCAATCTTGCATAATCAAAAGAAGACTGTAATTACAGAAAAATCTTCACGTGGAGAAGCCCACCGAGAAGCCGCATGCTTAATATTAAGAAAAAAAGAATCTATTGAAGCACTTTTATCCTCAAATGTTCTACTGTTTCTTTCCCGCCAAAGAAATGAAAGGACCGCCCTCGCTGCACAATTCCGAAGGACAAAGGCCTTTCCTGTGAGGGCATTTCCCCCAAAACCTTATGCGATGAAGTCTTCAATATACCGTGGAAGACAAAAGGAAAAGTGCCACATGATCCCAAGCTTTAAAAGCAAAAGAGCAATGCATAAAGAGATTGGTACTGTTTAATAGAGAAGCCACATGATTCCATGTTTATGTTTCTGAAAATTGGTAAATTTTGGGACTGTTTTTCAGGTTTATGTTGCTGAAAATTTTAGGAATTTGGTACTGTTTATAATGTTTTTTTTCCCCTGAAAATTTGGAGTTTTAAAAAGATTGTTTTAGAAGTTTACGTTTCTTCTGAAAATTTGGAGTTTTTAAGAGTGTTTTTATCGGTTTATTATTATTATTATTTTTTGAATTCGGGAAGTTTGGGAGTCTTTTCTAGGTTGTTTTTCTTTGGAATGTTGTGGATTTTGTAACCTTTTATGTTACTGTTTCTTTAAAGGTTTACATTTTTGAAGCATCATGAATTTTTTAAATATTTTTTTTTGATATTTTTGTCTCTGTTTGTGTTTTGAAATCTTGGTGTTGTTTTGAAGTTGGGTGATTTTTAATTTGTTTTAAAGGTTAAGATAATTACTTGGTTCCGAAGTTCCATTTCATGAAATGGAGCTGATTAATGTGATTTGTTTTGGTCTCTTATGCTAAATTATTGAAGACATTGACCTATTTGAGATAAAATTTTAGAATCTACTAGGGACACAACTTAATATTTTGTCATTTATTATTGTGCCTTTCGTGGAATTTGGATTCTTATGCATGCTCGTAAAATTCTCCACTCAAGTTGATCATGTTGCAAAAACATATGGAAAGCTTGGGAACTGTTACCCCTTTGGTTACTCTAGACCCATAACTGTAGAAATAGCATGAAATTTCTGGTTTGATTTTTGCAATTTGCATTTGAATTCTCTCATTTTATATTAGTTTTAAAAAATTATATTGTTTTATTTATTTATGTATTCATTTTATTCCTTTGATTTTCATTTTTTTTTTTGATAAGAAACTTAGAGAAGTGTATTAATCAAAAAAGGGAGAACAACCTAAGGGCAAGGGGTAGAGGAAACCCCTCCCCAACACAAAACTACTACATGAACATGAACGCCTTCCAATTGTGAAGGATCGAAAGAAGGGAGTAGTTGCAATTTACTAAAACTATGACACCACCTAGAAGCAGTGAGCTGAATATTACTCCACAAAACGTGAAAATCTAAAGAAGAATCATCAAAGAGTCTTTTGTTTCGTTCCAGCCAAAGGTTCCACATAACTGCTGCCACCACGAGAGTCCACAAGGTTCCTTTGGCATTTTTGAATCCGCTACCCCCTATGGCTTGAAGAAGCCACTCATCTACTCGTTGCGGGAGACAAAGGCTCATGTTGAAATGGCAAAAGACTAGGGACCAACAATTTCTCGCAAGTGTGCAGTGGAGAAATAAGTGATCGATGGTCTCTTCTACCTTAAGGCACAAGGGGCATGCAGAGGGAAGCATGCTCCAAGTACTGCACTTCCTTTGAAGGCGGTCCTGAGTGTTTAAACTGCGGTGAGCCATCGACCAAAGAAAGACTTTAATCTTCTTAGGGACCTTTGTCTTCCAAATCTTCTTGATAGGGGGGGTTGGATAATCTTACATCGCTTTGAAAGATGGAAAAAAGTGGACTTGGTAGTGAACACACGTGAACCATCTATCTTCCATCTCACCCCATCTATGGATTCTCCCAATCTGACCGTATCTAGCTGATTGATTATGCCTAGACAACTGTTGACTTCTCTGTCGAAAAGCCCCCTTTGAAAGCCTAGGCCCAGTCTTGTTGCTCGGTGTTCCAACAATCGTGGATGGTGTCCTCCTTTCTCTTAGAGAGTAAGTAAAGGTCAGGAAAGGTCAGCTCCAGCGATTGGTTTCCAATCCAAAGATCCTTCCAGAACCTGATTTTCTTCCCATTATTTGCCTTGAAAGACAGAATCTTAAGGAAAAGGTTTGTGTTATTCGCAATCGCAAACCATGGCCGCCATTTTGCTGCACCTTTTGGAGTGGCGGTAAGCCAACCATGAGGAAGAGTACCATAAATACTTTCCACCACACGCCTCCATAGAGCATCTTCTTCTTGAGTAAACCTCCACAACCATTTAAATAAAAGAGCATTGTTTCTCTGYTGGAACGATCCTATTCCAAGACCACCGTGGGAGAGAGGCAGAGAGGTCCATTCCCATTTCACTAGATGGCTGCAAGAGTGGTAAGTACCTCCRTCCCAAAAGAARTCCCTAACATACTTCTCCATGGTCTTAATCACCGTTTTGGGAGCTTTCAAYAAAGAAAGATAATAGAGAGGTAAGCTRCTAAGGAYCGATTGGGCCAAAGTTAGGCGACYTCCTTTAGAAAGGGAGAGGTTTTTCCATTTAGATATCTTGCATCTAAACTTTTCCAACATTGGTTCCCAAAAGCCGATGGAGTTTGCGTTACCTCCTARAGGGAAGCCCAGATAGTTGAAYGGAAGGCTTTCAATTTTACACCCAATGATGTTTGCAGCTAAGAGGAGATCACCCTCCTSAATATTTATCCCTATCAGAGAAGTTTTATCCACATTCATAGACATACCTGCAGCATAGACAAAAAGGGATATTATCCCCCACCAATCCAGAAGATCTTCAACCCTCCCCTTGCTGAAAATAATGGTGTCATCCGCGTATTGGAGGT